CCTGACGTAGAGGGAGCATAATAGATAGCTCACACGTAAATGAAACTGAATATATCACTCAGATAAGCATCTAATCTTTGATGCTCTTTGAAGTCCATAGTCTGGAGCTAAGCAGGATAAACCTGAAGAAGGAACTTCAGTCTCAGTCAAGAATTTAATGTGCCCTGGCATATTCTGGTCTTCCCTCCCTCCATGAATTAGCTTGCACTGAAGATGCAATGGGAAACGTAGAAGTTTAGGAACTGGGATTAAACAAGTGCAGTGGTGCAAAACCAAGAGAAGGTCCCAGATGTACACCCTATAATAATAGTTGTGCTAGGAACGTGCCCTCAAATAGCTTAATTGTTGCAGGTGGGGCCACATGGACTCCCCCACTTCTCAGAGAATGACAAAAAACTTTCATGCACATTCCTGATGGCACACAAGGAGTCCCCAACCTAGAACAGTTTGTTTAATGACCGAAGCTACAACAGGACTGAAGAAGTGACTTATGACTCTTTTTCACACTTAACGACTGTTGCAGCATCTCCATGATCACGTAATCAAAATCCCGATGCTTGGCAACCGGTCCCTATTTATGACGGTCGCAGTGTTCCGGGTCATGTGGTTCCCTGTTGTGACCGTCTGACAAGCAGACCCAATGGGGAAGCCAGATTCACTTAACAACCGTGTTACTAACTTCACAACTGAGTGGTTCACTTAACAACGGTGGCAAGAAAGGTTGCAAAATAGGGCAAAACTCACTTAACAACTGTCCCACTTAGCAACATAAATCTTCAGCTCAATTGTGGTCGCAACTCGAAGACCGCCTGTAGCTACCATGGGCCCTTCAGCATCTCGAGGAGATACAGCTGGTACTTTGGAGGCTGAATGCCAAAAGATGTTTCTTTAGGACTCCAGAAGAGACAAAGGAGAAAAAAATATTCACATAACCAATTAATTACATTTTGTAGTATGTGGGATGAATGTAACATCCAAACTTTCCTGGTGTACTATGTGGGCAAGGATTCCTGCATTTTGTTTCCTTTCTAGCTGTTTAGAAGGATTCACCGTAGATGCACAAATCCCGAAACACATTTTTTGATGGGGGAGACATATCACCTCAGGAATACAGAGTCAGGATTCTCCCTTTTCCCTCCACAAAGCATCATGAGGGGGAGAAGGCATGAAAAAGTGGCAAATACCACCAATTGTGGGGGTAAGGCAAATCTCTGTCCATCTGTAGTTGGGTCAATCTCAATGACATCAAAAGAGAGTTTTTCCCCAGCTGAGATATTCAAGTATTTTGGAGAGAGATGTTCTAGGTTGACCCCGTTGTGTAATAGAGTTCAAATGCACACTTGCACCAGATTGCAAACTTAACTTAGAGGGCTTTTTCCAAAGTTCATGAACAACCTCATATTATGAAAGAGGACATTAGGAAGACTTTGAACAGCCAGTTTCTCAAACAACCGCTAAGTTCTCTGATGGCTCTCTTTTTTTTTTTTACTTTCACAGAGAATCTTCTTCAGCCAGATCATCTCTCTTTCATGCTGGCTACATGTCAGCTTTTCTGATCCCTTTACAACTGAGCTTAAAGATGGCAAGCAAGCTCCTTATAATAATAATAATAATAATAATAATAATAATAATAATAATAATAATAATAATAATAATAATACTAATAATAATAATAATAATAATAATAATAATAATAATAGTAAAGTTGGAAGGGACCTTGGAGGTCATCTAGTCCAACCCCCTGCTCAGGCAGGAAACCTTATACCATTTCGGACAAATGGCCATCCAGTCTCTTCTTAAAAACTTCTAGTGTTGGAGTGTTCACCGCTTCTGGAGGCAGATTGTTCCACTGGTTAATTGTTCTCACTGTCAGGAAGTTTCTCCTTAGCTCCAGGTTGCTTCTCTCCTTGCTTACTCATCCATGCTGCTGGCAAAGATCTAGTAACGTCAGGAGAAATGTTGCTGGCTTAATTTCTACAATCAAGGTTTCAATCAAAGTTCTCCTAAGTGGCCCAGAAAACTTATATTTTGTATTAATGCAGAAGTAATTTGATAATGAGGGGTCCTTGTCAATCCAATCGATAAGTAAAACGAAATAGTATGCTGCAAGAGAACTTATGTATTTATTTATATGTCCAATCGTTTTCTGAGAGATGCCTCCCACCTTAGTGGCAGATTTCTTGGTACAGATTGATGACTTGGGCCCAGTTGCAGGCTCACCTGGACTCTTCTTTCTTAGGTAAAGTGGTGAGGTCCACCACCTGCATTGATCGATATGATGGAAAAAAGCATCTCATTGGGTCTACCTGGAGTGCAGCTCATGGCTTCAGATGCCAGTGCCATGGAGATGGAACGACATGCTAAGAGAGGTAGAAAAAAGCTATGGGCGAGCATCAGGTGCATTGATTTGTGCATGTTTTCTCTTAGGTTAAACGTTTATTGAGATAGCACATATTCAGGGACACTTATTCTTAGGTTATTATTTCTTTAGCGTATGATGAGAAAATGACAGAAGGGAAGAAAACATATGCACACAACCCATATAATCATATACAAACCATCTACCAGGGTATGGCATTGGCCTCGTAACTGGTTGTCCAATCAGCTATCCAGGCGATTGCCTCTGGCATTGCTTCGTGCAGATCTTCTAGGGCAATGTTTCTCAACCTTGACAGCTTGAAGATGTGTGGACTTCAACTCCCAGAATTCCTCAACTAGCAAGGAGATTTTTAAGAAGAGGCTAGACAGTCACTTATCCGAGATGGTATAGGTTCTCCTGCTTGAGCAGGGGGCTGGACTAGAAGACCTCCAAGATCCCTTCCACCTCTATTCTATTCTAAAAGTTTGCATATCAACAGCACAAGGGTACACAGGATACATACATAATTAAACCATCTACATAAGTCTTCTACATCAGAGATAACTAGAGCAGAGGTTCACAACGTTTTGGGCAACTATCCAATTACATTGTGGAAGCCTCTTACTGCTCTGGGCCACCAACCCCTTTGGGATATTGGAATTCCTGGAAAGTGGGAATCTTGTTTCATCAAAAACAAGTTGGAACAAAGCACTCTGTGCACCCTTAACAGAAAAATCTACTGCAGGAAATCCATTGGAGAGCATGCGGTTCCCCTTGAGCAGAGCCACAGGACAAGAGCATGTGAGACGGCCACCAGGAGAGAAAGAGCCTGCAGGGAAAGCAAATCTACTCTGTCCAATGCCTTATTGAAGATTTGGATGGACAGACAAAAAGCATGCAGGAAGAGACATATAAAGAGGGGACTCAGAGAGGATTATCAAAGGATATTACTCTGAGGTTGAAAGAAAGCTCTAAAAGTCCTGATTCTGGCTTGGGAGTCCCTGGACATTCATGGGAGTAAGTCCCATTTCCAAGAGTAGGACAACTTATTGTTGGGCGGGCTACAATCCTTAAAATGCATAGGGCTCATCTTGGGAGATGTGGGGAGGAAGCTGCACATCTGGCTGTCTCAACTTCTCACATTCTGCTGGAGGAATTCAATCTCACCACAATTCGGACTTTTTCTAGCCATGTTGCTCTAAAGGTGACAAAATACTTTCCCTTCACCACATCTGCAAAGCAAACAAAAACTAGTCATAAAGCAAATGTTTTTCTTCTGGCAGTGGCTATTCTGACAAAACTTTCAGATTTTTTTTTTTTAAATTGCACAAGGGGTGGTCTTGTTTTTTGTATAAATTGGAGGAGCAGATTCCTTGCATCCTTCCTTGCATGACTTCAGAGAGAGGTGCTGCTCTTTGTCCTTCCTCCCTACCAAGAGTTTCCTGGGTCTTCCCCAAAGCCAAGATGGTAAGTAAAATGGTTTGTTTAACATTTGCAAGATGAGCTTTCACTGACGTGGATGTAATAGAACGGCTGGAGGAACGCAGTGGCCCCTTTGGGACAGTCACTCTCCCGCAGCCGAGCCCAGAGTCGTAGCTGTGGTTATAATCACGGGAGAAATACTCTGTACATTATTTAGATGCAATGAAGACAGAAATACAGAAAGAAATGAAGATCAAATGCCATCAGATATTTCTATAGAACTCCAAAAGAACTGTTTGCAAAACAGGGGTGTGGGATAGAATTTAAAATCCAGACGTTGCTGGTCTAAATTTTGGGCAAGGACTCAAAAGCAGAATTTATTTTCTAGTTATTAAAAAATATTAATGATAGATACACAAATGCAGAAATGCACTTTTTGGTATGGAGGGCACACCAAATCAGGAATACAGAGTCAGGATTGTCACTCCTCCCCCCAAACATCCCAGGTGGGAGAAAGTATGAAAAGAGGCAGAAACTGATGTGGGGGTAAGGCACATCTATGTGTCTCTCTCTGTGTGTGCGGGTCAATCCCAATGATATCAGTGGAGGGTTTTGCCTCTGGAGGGGGAAAGGACTGAAAGACATTCCACGCTGAGGACTACTACCATAGTGGATGAACAAATGGCTGAAATATTGGGGTATCCTGGATTGTTTGCTATTGACACAAAAGGGGAGGGAGATGTTCCAGGTTGACGCTCTTGCGAAACAGAGATCCAAATGCACACTTGCACAAGATTGTAAACTTAACCCAGAGGGCTTTTTCTAAAGTTCATGAACAACATTGCATTATCAAACAGGACATTAGTAAACTTTGAACAGTCAGTTGCTCAAACAACCACTAAGTTCTCTGTGGTGGCTTACATTTTCTTATTTTCCTTTCTCAGAGAGTCTTCTTCAGTCTGATCATCTTCTCTTTCATGCTGGCTACATGCCAAGGAGCCTGCGGTAGAGGTCCCCTTGTACCTGAGCCTACAGATGGTAACCAAACTCTTTATAAATTTGCACAAAATTGTACTGCTTACAAAGATTTAATAATGCCAGGAGAAATATTGCTGGCTTAATTTCTACACCCCAAGTTTTCATTAAAGATCTATTAACTTGGCCACAAAATACCTTCTGTATTAATGAAGATGTCATTTGATCATCAGGGGTCCTTACAAATCTGATCAATAAAATAAAATGCTTTGCATCAAATGCAGAGAATTTGTATACTGATTACATTTGTCCAATAGCAGATTTTCTAAAAGTAACCTCCAACTTTAGCAGGCTTCTCAGTACAGCTGGTTGATTTGGATTCTGTTGTAGGTTCAATTTTTCACTCTTCAATTCTTTTTTTTTCGGTAAAGCCATGGCACCAAAGAAATGTGTGGATCCTAATGATGGGAGAAAGCATCTCATTGTATCAACTTGGAATACAGCTGATTGTTTAAGATGTGAATGCGACAGTGATGGATTGAGCTGCTGCCACAGGTAGGAAGAGATTCCAGGCAAGCATGAGATGTACTATGCATGTTTTCTCTTAGGTTAAGGCAGAAGCATTCACTGAGATAGCACCTAGGCAGACAGACCTTCTACCCAAATCTTCTGCATCAGAGATGCCTAGAGTGCTGCTGGAAGCAAACAAAGAGCAAATTCAACAAGAGGAACTAAGAACTTACACTTACTTTCTGGCAACAGGGACAGGAAAGTGTAATTACATCACTCCTTTTGCATTTGCAGACCACTGACCACCCACCCTATTTTGAGTGTTCAGGTCTCTCTTAGGTAAGGAGGAGGAGGGACCACTTTCCAGGATATGGACGCTAGCTGGGCAGGTCCTTTGTAGGTGGTGGAGATACGGCCGAGTCTTGTTATTTCAGAGGAGCTTAAGCCAGTTGCTCTTGAGGAGCTGGACATGAGCTTTGTGAGTGTGCGATTGGTGACCAATGTTCTGGATCCTTGCACTTCCTGGTTGGTTAAGACCTCCTGGGAGTGGGCAAGTAGTTGATCTGAGGCTATTTAATGGCCCTCTGTGCAACAGGGTGAAACCACCTGCTATCTCAAGAGGCCACCCTGAGACCCAACAGACCACATTGATCCAGTCTCCAAGCTTCCCTTTTTGTAGAAGATTGTTGAGAGAGTGGTTGGTGCACAGAGGGACCAAGTTGAAGCAATTTGTCCAGACCCTTTTTAGTCTGGCTTCAGAGTGGGAAATAGCCTTGAGATGGCATTGGTTACATTTCTTGATAATCTTTGGAGAGACTGGGATGGAGTGGTGTAACAATTCTGGCCTTACTGGACTTCTCAGGGACTTTCAATACCTTCCTGTTTGGATAACTACAATCAGCTCTACATGGGCTGTCCTTGAAGATCACCCAGAAGCTACAACTGCTCTAGAATGTGAAGTCACGTGGAGTCATAAGTACACCTAGATTTACCCACATTTACCCACACCTCTGTTGCATGAGCTGCACTGGGTCCCAGACCCCAGCCTTCCAAAACTCACTTGTGACATAAAACCAGCACTGGGATAGAGGAGATTGATGAAAGTGCTTGTGGTGAACTATTTGCTATAGGTTTTTATTCTTGGTGATTTTAACAGATTTGTATGTATTAATTGTACAATGATACATTTTTAACTGTTGGCTGGGAGCCATCCAGAGGTTAGTATAAGATGGGCAGGTATATCAATGGTTTAAATAAGTCCATATTTCAATAAACAATAACTACTTCATGATAGTCACCCATGCTTAACCTAGATCAATATGTGATATGTTCCTCCTTTGCTAATACTACTAACATTGACATGTATTGATAAGTTTACCCACATACTTATCTTTCCAACACTGAGGAAGCGGTATTATGTGGAGATTCAGGATTGTTGGATGCAGAAGGGAGCAGAGAAACTGAGGGTGGCAAGGAGCAGAATTGCTTTTTGCTTTCTTTCCTTTCTCCTGGCTTCTCTGGACTCCGGGAACAGCTGGGCAATCATTTTGTCCAACCTGCTGATCATTATTGCAGGTCTCCAAGAAGCTCATTACCCTTGTTGCAATCAATACGAGCATTCAAAATGAATTTCTGGGTGTCTCAATCCTGAGATTTCTCCGTGAAAAACAGCATTTCCAAGAATTGGGTTTTTAGCATCAAGCCAAGCCTTGGCTGAATCAACCTTTCTCCCAGAAAGTTTCAATAGCTGTCTGCAAATTCTAAGGTGGCAGGTGATCTTAGAGGTGTTTTCTTAAAATCACCGTTGACTGATCATAACTTCATCTTTTTTCTCTTTTTTCCACTTTGAAGGTATGGTGGTCTTGCTGGAAGAGCAGGATGCAAAACAGTGTTGAATCGAGTAACATGTGAATATGAATTCTATAGGCTCGATGACCCATCAAAGCGCTGTGGTGCCTGATCTCTTCACTTGGACCCACTGGAATAACTCTCTCATGTGTAAAAGAACCTGAATAAATCTCTCACACCAGCATCTTAATCTTTTTCCTTGTCTTTTCTTTTATTCAAAACAATTGTGTAAACCATGAAGCTGGTGCTATGATGTCAGCCGTGCAGTATGGGAGGATACGGCCTGCATCAGTTTGGCATTGTGTAACAACACTTGAGCATTTCTGTGGCTCGTTGGAAAGCTCCTAAAGAGCAAGAAAGAAGTAAAAGCATTAGACTCTCTGGCAAAGGAAAAAAAAAAAGCCAGGACAGATCTAAGTAGCTGTTAGAAAATGTAGCTGTCCAAGGTCTTTCTAATCTGTTCAATAATATGATGTTTGTGGACTTTGGAAAAAGGCCTGTAGGTTAAGTTTACAATCTTGTGCAAGTGTGTACTTGGATCTCTATTGCACAACTGTGTCAACCTGGAACATCTCCCTCACCTCTTTGTGCCAGCTGCACACAATCCAGGATGCCCGAATATCTGGGCCATTTGTTCATCCTCCTAGTTGTTGTCAGCATGGAATGTCTTTCAGTCTTTCCTCTCCAGAGGCAAAACTCTCAGCTGATGTTGTAGGATTGACCCCCCCCCCCATCACCACCGGGAGGGAAATGGGCCTTAGAGCCAATCCACTTCTGCCACGTTTTCTTGCGGTTTCCCACTCGTGATACTATGTGGAGGGAAAGTGACAATTCTGACTCTATGTTTTGGCATACATTAAAATGAAATTTCGTTGCATTCAGCTCTCAGAGGGTCACCACCTCCTATATACACTACATAAATATAACAAAAATAAATAAATACAGAATTATGCATATACCCACATATATTATATGACACAGAAAAACAACGGTCTAGTTTGAGTTATGTATACATGTGCATAGCGAGAAAAATTAATCTTGGGAGTTTACCAGACGGATGGCATAGGGAACAAAGCTGTTACAGAATCGGGTAGTCCTGCTAGAAATACTTCAAAACCTCCTCCCAGAGGGGAGCAACAGAAACAGACCGTAAAGTGGATGCGTGGGGTCTCTAGCAATGCTTTGAGCTCTAAGCACACAGCGCTTATAAGCAGCATCCTGAATACCAGGGAATGAGCTTCCTATGATCTTCTCGGCTGTCCTTACCACTCTCTGTGTGGACTTTCTATCTGAGGCCCTGCTGCCACCAAAGCAGACAGGGATGCATTTTGTTAAAATGCTTTCAATTGTGCCTCTGTAAAAAGTGGCCAGGACAGAAGGAGAAAGATGTGATCTCTTCATCCGACGCAGGAAATGCAGACACTGGTTTGCACGCTTCACTAAGGATGAGACGTGGAGAGACCAATTCAGATTGTTAGTTGGAATAGACAACATCACCACCAGATGGATTTCTAACTGGCTGATAAACCGTACTCAACAAGTAGTCTTTAATAGTACTACATCCACATGGAGAGAAGCAAGCAGTGGGGTACCACAAGGCTCCATCTTAGGCCCAGTACTCTTCAATATCTTCATAAATGACTTAGATGAGGGAATAGAAGGGGATCTCATCAAATTTGCAGATGACACTAAACTGGCAGGAGTAGCCAACACCCCAGAAGACAACCTCAGAATCCAAAAAGATCTTGACAGACTGGAACAATGGATCCTATCCAACAAAATGAGTTTTAATGTGGAGAAAAGGAAGGTTTTACACCTGGGCAGGAAAAACCAAAGGTGCAAGTACAGATTAGGTGAAACCTGGCTCAAAAACAGTAACTGTGAGAGGGACTTTGGAGTCCTAGTGGACGATCACTTAAACATAAGGACAATTAACCAGTGGAATAGCTTGCCTTCAGAAATCATCGGCACTCCATCACTGGAGGTTTTTAAGAAGAGACTGGACAGTCACTTGTCTGAGATGGCTGGATTAAAAGACCTCCAAAATCACTTCCAGATTCTATTCTATTCTATTCTATTCTATTCTATTCTATTCTATTCTATTCTATTCTATTCTATTCTGCTCTATTCCACTCCATATATTCTATTCTATTCTATTCTATTCTATTCTATTCTATTCTATTCTATTCTATTCTGAAGCATCAAACATGTTCTAGAAATGGTTTACAGCAACATCTGTGGCCAGTGCAAAGAATTGCACAATGATGAAATAGACAATTGTGGAAGCCTCTTAGTGCTCTGGGCCACCAACCCCTTTGGGTTATTGGAACAAAGCACTCTGTGCACCCTTAACAGAAAAATCTACTGCAGGAAATCCATTGGAGAGCATGCGGTTCCCCTTGAGCAGAGCCACAGGACAAGAGCATGTGAGACGGCCACCAGGAGAGAAAGAGCCTGCAGGGAAAGCAAATCTACTCTGTCCAATGCCTTATTGAAGATTTGGATGGACAGACAGAAAGCATGCAGGAAGAGACATATAAAGAGAGGACTCAGAGAGGATTATCAAAGGATATTACTCTGAGGTTGAAAGAAAGCTCTAAAAGTCCTGATTCTGGCTTGGGAGTCGCTGGACATTCATGGGAGTAAGTCCCATTTCCAAGAGTAGGACAACTTATTGTTGGGCGGGCTACAATCCTTAACATGCCTAGGGCTCATCTTGGGAGATGTGGGGAGGAAGCTGCACATCTGGCTGTCTCAACTTCTCACATTCTGCTGGAGGAATTCAATCTCACCATAATTCGGACTTTTTCTAGCCATGTTGCTCTAAAGGTGACAAAATACTTTCCTTTCATCACATTTACAAAGCAAACAAAAACTAGTCATAAAACAAATGTTTTTCTTCTGGCAGTGGCTATTCTGGCAAAATTTTCAGAATTTTTTTCCCCAAAATTGCGCAAGGGGCGGTCTTGGTTTTCGTATAAATTGGAGGAGCAGATTCCTCGGTGGCTTCAGAGAGAGGCGTCCCTCCTTCTCCTTGCTCCCTACCAAGAGTTTCCTGGGTCTTCCCCAAAGTCAAGATGGTAAGTAAAATGTCTTTTTCTTTCTTCACAACCAGAGCTGAGATGACACGAGGAGAGAAGGGCTGGAGGACTGAGGTGGCCCCTTTGGGACAGTCACCCACTCCAGCAGAGCCCAGAGTCGTAGCTGTGGTTATAATAACGGGAGAAATACTCTGTACATTATTTAGATGCAATGAAGACAGAAATACAGAAAGAAATGAAGATCAAATGCCATCAGATGTTTCTATAGAACTCCAAAAGAACTGTTTGCAAAACAGGGGTGTGGGATAGAATTTAAAATCCAGACATTGCTGGTCTACGTTTTGGGCAAGGACTCAAAATCAGAGTTTATTTTCTAGTTATTAAAAAAATATTAATGATAGATACACAAATGCAGAAATGCACTTTTTGGTATGGAGGGCACACCAAATCAGGAATACAGTCAGGATTGTAACTCCCCCCCCCCAAACATCCCAGGTGGGAGAAAGTATGAAAAGAGGCAGAAACTGATGTGGGGGTAAGGCACATCTATGTGTCTCTCTCTGTGTGTGCGGGTCAATCCCAATGATATCAGTGGAGGGTTTTGCCTCTGGAGGGGGAAAGGACTGAAAGACATTCCACGCTGAGGACTACTACCATAGTGGATGAACAAATGGCTGAGATATTTGGGTATCCTGGATTGTTTGCTGTTGACACAAAAAGGGGAGGGAGATGTTCCAGGTTGACGCTCTTGCGAAACAGAGATCCAAATGCACACTTGCACAAGATTGTAAACTTAACCCAGAGGGCTTTTTCTAAAGTTCATGAACAACATTGCATTATCAAACAGGACATTAGTAAATTTTGAACAGTCAGTTGCTCAAACAACCACTAAGTTCTCTGTGGTGGCTTACATTTTCTTATTTTCCTTTCTCAGAGAGTCTTCTTCAGTCTGATCATCTTCTCTTTCATGCTGGCTACATGCCAAGGAGTCTGCGCTCCACGTCCTGAGCATATAGAGGGTAACCAAACTCTTTATACATTTGCACAAAACTGTACTGTTTACGGAGGTTCAGTAATGCCAGGAGAAATATTGCTGGCTTAATTTCTACACCCCAAGTTTTCATTAAAGATCTATTAACTTGGCCACAAAACACCTTCTGTATTAATGAAGATGTCATTTGATCAACAGGGGTCCTTACAAATATGATCAATAAAATAAAATACTTTGCATCAAATGCAGAGAATTTGTATACTGGTTACATTTGTCCAATAGCAGATTTCTAAAAGTAACCTCCAACTTTAGCAGGCTTCTCAGTACAGCTTGTTGATTTGGATTCTGAGTGTAATTTCCACTCTTCCATTCTTTTTTCTTAGGTGAAGAGGCGACAAGGATATGTGTTGATCCTAAAGACAGGAGCAGGCATCTCGTTGTATCAAAATGGAATTCAGCTGGTTGTACAATATGTGAATGCTTCGAAGGTGGATTGAGCTGCTGCCTCAGGTAGGAAGAGATTCCAGGCAAGCATGAGATGTACTATGCATGTTTTCTCTTAGGTTAAGGCAGAAGCATTCACTGAGATAGCACCTAGGCAGGCAGACCTTCTACCCAAATCTTCTGCATCAGAGATGCCTAGAGTGCTGCTGGAAGCAAACAAAGAGCAAATTCAACAAGAGGAACTAAGAACTTACACTTACTTTCTGGCAACAGGGACAGGAAAGTGTAATTACGTCACTCCTTTTGCATTTGCAGACCACTAACATGCTGCCCTATTTTGAGTGTTCAGGTCTCTCTTACGTAAGGAGGAGGAGTAGGGACCACTTTCCAGGATATGGACCCTAGCTGGGCAGGTCCTTTGTAGGTGGTGGAGATATGGCCGAGTCTTGTTATTTCAGAGGAGCTTGAGCCAGTTGCTCTTGAGGAACTGGACATGAGCTTCGTGAGTGTGAAATTGGTGACCAATGTTCTGGATCCTTGCACTTCCTGGTTGGTTAAGATCTTCTGGGAGTGGGCAAATAGTTGATCTGAGGCTATTTAATGCCCCTTTGTGGAACAGGGGTGAAACCACCTGCT